GCAGTTTTGATTTCCCTGAGTGAATTCCTGTGCATTACCTGTTTTGTTCCCTGGACTCCTGAGAATTGCCTGCCGGACCTCTGTACCTCTGCCGAATATTCTGATCTCCTGGTTTTGACCTCTGCCTAATAAACGACCCTGATTCAGCCTGACCCACCAGTTCCGTCTCTGTGTCCTCAGCATTGTACATGATAAGTAGTGTCACCAGTAACCACAGGTGTTACCAGATCAACCCAAAATCTGAAGGATTAACTTTAATCTGTCACATCTGACTCGTGAAGTTAATAAAAGGTCAAACTCACAAAGTCCGAAAAAATGCAGATGATGTGTTCAAACCTTTTTCTTTCATTTCTGACCTGTAGGTTTCTGGTTTTATCAAATGGAATGAAAACATTTCCTCTTCCTTTCCATTTTAGTTTGGAATGAAAACATGGACATCACCCCCCCTTCCTTCCTTCTGTCTGTCTGTCTGTCTGTCTGTCTGTATGTCTGTGTACACTCAGTGCCCAGGGTGGAGATTAGGTCTGGTATTAATGGGATGTCCCTTGCTGCATGCCCCCCCCCTCCCGTCTCCTCCCTCACATTCCACCGTCCCAAACATACACACTCACATACACGGCCTTATGTGACCCCTCTCCACCCTTCCCCTACTTGAACACACACATTCCCTTTCGGCAATCCCCTCCCACCTCCCTCACCCTCCCAGGCCTTTGGACATCAGAGCAGGCCTCCCCAATCCCCCTTTAGCAAGCATCCAGACCTGTTAAACCAACAGACGGCCAGGTCTATTGTCCCACAGCTTGATCTGGAGTGTGTGTGTTGGTTTGGCCTGGACGGTAGGTTAGGATAACGTTTGGACAGCGCTGGATCCCCTCTAATCCCAGAAAAGCAAAAGTAAAGCTGAGTCCAGGACCCCCGGCGCTTTCGGTGATGCACCCTCCTTCACCTGCGTGCACACACACAGTGTTCATAGTCATAGTGCCACACCACAGGATTAGCAGTGATGTCTCCCATTACCCAACAGGCACTGTCAGTCACACCAGAAACCGGCACAGTGGCATTTATCTGAATTCTTGCAAGACGTTAGGCTCCGGAGGCTTTGTGATGTCATGAACTACTGTAGCTCTCAGACTGGTACCCGCTTTAACATATTGTTTGGTAGAAATTGCCTTCATTAAGAGTCCGATTTATTCAACAATCTTCAAACTGTAAAAGCACAATGTGTTGGAAGGTTTGCAGCTCACTAAATCCCAATAAAACATATTCTTCCTGAAACTGTTTTCGCTTTCTTTTCCACTTGTTTCAGTTGTATTACTTCTTCTGTGATGGTTTTGCTGCAGATTATTGTGTAATTATATCAGTAATGTTTGATACCCCCTGCAGTATTTATGAAGCACTGCTGTAGCACACAAGCTGAATGCTCACACACTAGCCAGCCATTAACTAGCACTATTTAGTCAAGCTTCTTTATTTTTTTTGCTCTCAGCTTGTATCATTTCATCCAGTAAGGAATTATTGAAGAGGGGAAGCTGTCCGAGCCAAGTGTGCCAGTTAGTAAGCATGTTAACAGGACAATAGCTGCGCTCAAAATATGTTTTTTTTTACTCTTAATAACAGTAAATGAGTTTATACTCAAACAAAGGTATATAAATAAAAATGTATGGTGCAACACAACGAAAGAGGAATTCTTCAAACTGGACAGTGAAAACAAACATATACACACACACATATCTTTACCTTACCTTACACCTGAACTTTACCCTTACCCTAACCTAATTCTGTTTTTAACCATAAAGCCAGGTCCCATTAAAAGACACAATCATAAGACAGTATTACCCCAACATTTAAAGAGATGTGGCTAACCATTCTCAGCATGAAGAACAATGTTTCCTAACACCAAAAAGAGACAAACAATGCAGAGTCACTTCCACTACATGTCATTCCTCCTGTTGCCATACATAATACATGAAGCGCATTCAAACGCCTGTACATTAAAAACAAGCTTTCATGCCCCCCCCCCTCACCTCCCTGCCTCTTCCCCAGCTCCTGAACGCTCCTCTGTGACTGTGTGCCCACCAACTTAAAAGTATTGTCAG